CATCTAATGATCTATGGAGGTATCCAAGAAAACATTAAATAATATTGGAAACAAATCTAAAATTAAAAAGCACTGAGTATATGAAGTAATACATAAAGATGAGTTTTCTGGAATGCCAAGACTTTATACATACGAGGTTTTCAGTATTTAAAGCTACTATATATTGTAATACTCTGTATAGTATAATTATCTAGTCACCTTTATTGCTATTTAGTACAAACAAAACAGTCTGAGTCAAAGTAAGGTACTATAATCACATAAAATATGCACAAGTACTGTATATAAACATAAAAATGTATGGGATTTTTTTTGGAAGCATGATAGGACGCAATTTCTGACTGGAAAATAAAACTGGCAGTATAATTTCAAGACCTGAAGTGAGAAACAATGGGAAAGCAGGAAAACGATACGTTTTCTAATCTTGGTGCTTATGTAGTTAAGGCTGGAAGCCAGCGAACACTGAGGTGTATGGAAGTATGTTTCTTTGTTATTCAAAACGTAACATATTCACTCTTCTTTAACACTTTGATTTATAATAATAAAGCCAGCAGATGTCATGTCATGAAGATGGAGTGGATCAAATTCAGCTCAGTGACAGAACAAATAATATCATTGAAGTTCATATAGTCACTAGAGACTTGCTCCTGCCTCACTAAGGGAACAGTGTTAAAATGAGAGACAGGGCCAATTTGGGGGCAGTGTTAAAATGAGGAGGAGGGCTAGAGGCAATACAACATAGAGCTGTACTCCATCCCCTCTTCACATTCTATTTTTTGAGGCATGTACAAAGATGTTTCAGTTTAAAAGCCAGTTGTATTATAACACTTCCTCTGAACATGGTGGGAAACCAGAAATGCTTGATCTGCGAGGGACTTGGGGTTTCAGGGGTCTGTTTTGACTGATTTTTTTACTAATTTAGAAGGAGGATTGTCAATTAATTGCCATGACTGACTGAATCTGGCAAAATAAATAATGTGTTAATCTCTGTTAAAATACGGATGTCACTGTTGGCAAGCTATGTGGGTGACTATAGCATGCAAGGACACATCCCTGAAATCACATATGCCTGACATCTAAATGTTGGTTGTGAAAGATATCAAAACAAGTCATGATAGGTCCAGAAAAAAACCCAATATACAGAGTAATGAAAATGAGTTAGGGTCATATTGTGCCAACTTTGTTAACATTTAATAATACTGTATTGTCTGTTCTGTGTGAATAGTCCCAGTGACTTCAGGGGAACTGTGAATAGCACTTGGGCTCGTGTGAGCTGGGATGGTGCAGTATGACCATCTGTGTCTTCGTGAGAATTAAAATGCCCAGATTGTCTGAGAACCGTGGGGCAAATTCTCAGTTCCAGGTTCCACTGTGTGTTGTTTACTTTAGAGTATATGGACAAGTGTCTAGTAAGTTTCTGCAGTGGGTAAAAGAAAAAAATGTATAATAGCTTGTTCTTTTTCCCAGCCAAATAAAAAGGCTAAATCTTACCTTTTGCTGTAGAAATGAACACAACAAATCTATAGACTAGACTAGACTAGACTATTTCTGTCAGAAGGGACCTACAACGATCAATCAGTCCAACTCCCTGACGACTGGGGGGCTGACAGAAGTTCAAACATGTTGTTAAGGGCATTGTCCAAATGCCTCTTAAATGCTGCCAGGCCTGGGGCACTGTCCACCTCTCCAGGAAGCTTGTTGCAGGGTTAGACCACCCTCTTAGTAAAGAAATGCTTCCTAATGTCTAGTCTAGATGGCTGTAAATAGAATGTCTTGAATTAAGACTGCATTCTATGTTTTTGATAGTTTGTGACATTTCTAGAACAAAACATGTTAATGAGGAACTTTTAAAACTGGAAATAATTTTAACTCCCAGCAATTTAACAAATTCAATGCAAGTTCTTAGAATGCTCTCATGACCCACACACATTTTTCAGCAAAACAGTTTGGCTAAAAAAGCATCTCTAGCTCTAACCCATTACTGCGGCTTTTCTGGCAATGTTGCTTGAAGAAGCCAGAACAGCTTTTTGCTTGGAACATTTGAGAAAATAAATGAGTATACTTCATAGTGGGGAATTAGAACTATCTTTATACTTTTTTAAACACTTGTGTACAAGTTGCTTGTTCTTGCTAACAAAGTAGAATGAAATGCAATGCTATGCAAAAGCAAATAACTGATCTTTTTCAAAATTCCTTTCAATAGGCACCCCCAGGTTAGTAAGGAGGCTCTGATCAGTTGGCAAGAGGCAGCGGGTCTCATACTGTGAGCAACATGCACATCAGGTCATCATGTGCATTACAAAAGATATGAACAATGCTGGGCAATGAAATTTTACCTAGATTAAGTGTGAAATCATAGCACCTGTCTGTCAGATTGTCCAGTGTGTGATGGTGTGTTTATGAAGGCTTTTTAAGGACAAGCAGCACTGTCCTAATAAAAAAACTCTGGTGCTACTATCTTACTTCTAGGAGATTGTTAAACAAATTTGAACTTCTACTGTGAGTTTACACAGATTGGCTGTAATGTTTTTGTAATCTGCTCATGAAGTCAGATTTGCCATGTTATAGGGACACATCCTAAGGCAGAGGTGGAAAAGCATGCACTGCCACAACTACAGGGTGTTGTGGATACTGTCACCTATTCAAAGTAGGCCCCACAGTTAAGATTACCAATTTTTAAAGATATTTTTTAAGAGGCAGATCAAGGTGGTTCACTAAAGCATGGAGAAGAGGGACATGAAATAGACAGTGTGATGTTAGTCCATGGTAACTGTTTTCTATTCAACTGTTTTGAGATAAGAGATAAAGTTCTCTTATTTAATCTATTTGGTCCATTTGGTGCTTTTAATTTATAAAATTTTAAGCATCTAATTTGGCCTAATTTGAATTTTATTATGTGAAAAGGTGATAAATTAAGCAGCTCGGGCAGTAATTTCTACTGACACAAAATATGTGAGCAATTTTTTTCCTAATTGGAGTAGACTAGGCTTGAATATATGTCATTATAACACAAGTCCCAAATGGATGTGTAATTCTACCATTATTTTTGTTTTATAAATATTTTAGAATGCTATAGAGAGTTAAACAAAGGAGCAGAGAATGCCTGCATATTCCATTGGGTGACAACTATTTGAGGCTGGAAGTACATAGAAGTATGCTGGGGGACAGGATTTAAATTAAGAATTATCACAGCAATAGAAATAATTAAAAAGATTGAATGCAGGTCAATAAAGGGAAGTGAAAAGTATTGTACTCAGGAATAATCAGTCAAATAAAAACAGGATTAGAAAACAGTTGGCTTCCTAAATCTGAAGGAAAAAATCTGGATAATGGATCAGAGTTGAATGCTATTCAACCAAGTCATTAGATGAAAAAAAGAAAAAGGGAAACTGTACTAAGATCCCTAAACAGGGCAGTAGCCTAGAGCACATACTACATGTCATTTGTATTTCACACGGCTTTGCAAAGGCTCCATCTGCAGCTGAAAGCCTTGTTTGGAGAACAGCCATTCACAAAGGAGTCTGCTGGACTAGATGCCTTTTCAGCACTGCATGTTTAGGTTTGCCATCATAGCAGTGATGACATCAGGTTATGAGGTTGGATTAGAGGATTCCACTCTTTTTTGATTATTCCATTATAAGGTTTGAGGCCACAGAAAATCATGATGTAATTAAAACACTAATATCAAACCCAAACTTGTAGATTGAATTATGGTACACTATATGTGCTTGTGTAGCTCTTGACTCCAGATCGGCAGAATTTGGCCTGATACTTAACAGAAGAAACCTGACCACAGGCTGCACACAGGGCTCAGAGAGCCAAAACCACAGCATACACAGGGCAGGAGAAGGGCAAGGAGCATTCTGCAAAAGTACAACTTTTTTATTTTAAAACAGCATATGTATATAGTGTAACATCTTTCACAGTCGCTCGTGTTTGTGAAGATTAGCTCGCCCTAGCAACCAGTTCTAAAAACAGACTGACACAAACTTCATCATATCACATCCAGGAGGAAGTGATTCTGTTACTGTGCAGGGACTTCTACTGTATTGATTACAAGCAACAGCATCAAAGAAGTGTGCGTAGTTTGAGATAACATTTCTTTTTCCATAACATTTTCCTAGATAGGTCAGTATAATAATGTATTCCCTAAGGAGATAAAACACCTCGTGTTATTTTATGGCTTTAACATTGAAAAGCTTCAACATTTTTCTAGGATGTTCCATCACTGAGCATGTGAATAGTTGCAAGTAGCTTCTTTCTACATTAGTCTGCACTGCTCTTATTTCCTGCATACATCTTTCTCAGTTTTAAGTTTGACCAGGGTAATGGCATTGACACATATACAATTTATACCAGAATAACAGCTTTTGTGACAAGAGTATGATGGTATCTGCACTAAGATACCAGCAGAACACCGTGCTCCATGTAAGAGAGAGGAGCTGAATGTCCCTTTTCAACTCTTGTTGTCTTTCGAGACTGGCAATTACAGGAAAAATTGTTCTGTTCCAGGAGAACAAACATTAGCATTAATTATATAACTGCTGAGATAATTTGTAACATTTTTATTATTTTGTTAGGTTTCCTTTTGTGGAATGCTAGGAAAAGAGGTTTATTGCACAACTTTTGAATCCAGGCTGAAGGCCTTTATTTCAGTCTTCATTGTTGTAGTAGTATGAATAGCTGTCAGAATGGAAATCAGCGTGCAAGATAAATTACATGTGCTGAGACAGGCAGTAAAATAGAAAAGGGGAGAAAGAAAGGAGGAAGCAGGCAAGACACTAGAAATCAGATAAAAATGCTTTAAAGATTTTGCATAACTCTTTCAAACTGGAACTTCTTAAAGAATCAGAAAGACGTAGGCAAAACATAAAGGTTAACCTACAAATAACTGCATTGGAGATCAAAACTGGATATAAAGGAGGTACTAAGGAGGGAGATGTGGAGGGTAGTAGCATTCTGGCCTCAAGAGCACACGAGAAAGAAAAGCTATTGAAGGTGAAATGAAGATATGGGCCCCCAAACTGCAACAAATTGCAGTAAGCTGGCACAGCTGTGTTATGCCTTGGAGAACAAACCTTGCTGAAAGCGCTGGCCATGGGTTGCGCGCAGCTGCTCGCCTGGAGCAGGTGATGAAGCTTGTGTGGCAGTGGCTGAGTGGAAATGGATTTAGCATCGGTACTTTGAACACGCTTAGATCCCGTTAAGGCAGGCGAGCCGGCTGCTCAGTGGCTGCAGGGGAGCCTAGGAGCCGGATTTCCATCACTGGTACGTGACCCTGCAGCTCCGGCTGCCGCCCCGCTCGGCGCGGCCCCGCACAACATGGCCGCGGCCCCGGCGCGTCACGCGGC